GAGAAAAGTACAAATTTTATTCAATAATAATTATTATTGCAAAATGTTGAAAATTTCAATTTTAGGATGCGGCATTAGTAACAAATTTAGGTGGCAGTGAAAATCCTTCGCTTTCCTAAAAATTCTAATTTTGTTGGCAGTATGAAATTCTCAATGAAATTGCGCATCGTTATTTAAAATTTCATTGTATGAAATAAATTTATTCAGTTAAAATAATTGTTCTATAAAATTCCAAAAGTTTATCCAGAATGGATCAAAAACATTTTAATTGAACACAACAAAACATAGAGATCAGATACCTTTTCTATGCCTATATAATAAAGATAAAGAACTGATAATCTTTGACACATATATCTTTCGCATAACTATCTAATCTTGATTAAAGAACAGCTAATCATAATAAGAAATAATGATCTGATAACCTTTATCATACATATGTATTAGCAAAATGTTTGCGTTTATTTGCAGAAGAATCGATTTATCAATTTCACTGGCATATTATTATCATTCTTTTGACAAATTAAATTTAGCGAATACTAATGCATAAATTAATTAGGAACCGTTAATTAAATATAATTTCCTACTTAAATATTATGCGATATTTATTGGTTTAATAATTTCTTTAACAATAATTCGATTTTCAAATATTTGCATTATTGTTGTTGATTTTTTTGGCAAATTAAATTTGATAAATATTTTTGCAATTTCTTTGAAGATTTGTTTTTGCCGACAAATAAAAATGAATACCATATTGTAGGAATTGATATTACTTAAGAGAAGAGAATATAGCGCCATTTCATTCTCATTAAAAGTATCCAAACGATCATGGATCAGCTGATTTACTGCTGGTACAATATACAGAACTAAAATTAATTTAATTACAGTACCTTTTCTAGTAAATAGAAAATTTTAATGGAATTTAAATTTGTTAATGAATTTTGAGCAAAATTTAAAGTGAAAAAAATTGTAAAATTATAAGATTTTATAAAAAATTTAAAACAGTTGCAAAAATTTTCAATGAAATTTGAAATCAATACTTACAAAATGTCATCAAACATGAGCAAGTTGCTGTTATTGTATACTCTTTTTGTCGCTCGAGGAAGCCATTAATATTTGCAAATAATATTGATTGATTGGATGCAATCACTAATTGTCGTTTTCTAAAATTTAAATTAAAAAAAATTCTAGAGAATTTTATTATTCTATTGTTTGGTTTTAATTATTTTCAGCTATTAAATGTGAAACAAAAAAGAAAAAGTCTCAAATCACAAATTACAGAATGTATTTGATGTAAATTTACAATTTAATTTATGCAATTGAATGAAAATTGCAATAAATAATTACAAAAATGAAAAGAAATATAATTAAATAATTAGAAAATAAAAATATGGAATAAAATAATTTACATACATACAAACCTGTACATAATAACAACAACAATTATCATTATTGGAATGCTTAATGCAGCAGCTAATATACGCATGCATAAAATCACCGAAAATGTATTTTCTGCATAAATTAAATGACCGCTAAAATAAAAACAAGGTTGATTTCACAAAAAAAGAATAAGAATGTATGATTAATAAGAATTTAATTGTGTTAATTTATGAGAAAGTTCTTGTGTGAAATGAAATCATCAATTAATTCATAATTCGACAAGAAATGAGAAAAGAAATGAAAAAATCAATCAGTAATTCATTTTCATATTCCATGCATAGCGCCATTATGACTGGAATAAAATGAATTTAAAAAAAAAAAATAATACGAACAAACAAATGGGTGAAACACGACGTCTCGGTAAAATTACTTCAATTGTAATCGATATAACCATGATAAAGAATGGAATAATGTAAATTACTGCCAGAAGAATGATAATAATTTTTTTCCAATTTTTAAAATACAAAATCGTAAATCGGACCACTAAAAAACGATCCAAACTATATGCCAGTAAACCAAAACCATTCAATAAAAAGAGTATTACTAAAATATTACTGCACTGAAAAGAAATGCTGTCGTTAGTTGAAATTATTTAATTCAATTTATTTCCAATTTATTAATTTTCAGCTAAATGACAAGTTTTTTCTTTTACATTATTAGCTGCATACGATTAGTTATGGAAGAATTTTTATTAGCAAGAAATTAAATGTTTTAATTTATTAGTGACATGAAAAATCAATCGAGTAAATAAAGAGAGAATTCTGAGCATTAAATAATATTATCATAATTACTTTATTAAATTACACTTCAAATTATTTATTGTTTCGCTCAAATGAAAAATTATTCATACTTTTTTACAAATCCTTCTCCCTCTCTCTCTCACTTTATAAAATGATATATCATGCATTAAATTATGACTAAAAGTTTAATGAAATTTATTGAAATATAATAATGGAAACCGGGATGGAAAGTTTTTTCAAGTAAACAAAAAAAAAAGCTTACATGCAGCAAGCAATAATCATTATCAACTAATTGATCACTTGAAAAATGATTCATATCAATCAGTCTTGTGATACCCAAAATGATATCAGCCAATCCTGTTAGGCCATTATGTAATATAACAAATGCTGTAATTATATGATATCGCCTGAAATTATGTCGCAAGAAACTGTATGAATAATCCAAAAATTAATTCATAATTACTAAAATTAATATTGTTAAAATAATTACATTGTTTTTCGAATTTAAAAATTTTCAAATATTATCAAAAGAATTAAACATTTGACATTAACTTAGTTAATTTAATATATAAAAAATGAAACATTACAATATAAAATGTTTAAAAAAAGCCAAAAAAATGCTGATTTTTTGGTATGATTTATATCTTCAATATATGTATTTTATTGTAATCAATTAATGTAACAACAATATACGTATTTTATTAGAATTAAGCCTAATAATCTAACTTAACAAAACTAAAAATTTTAAACTATAAAAGTAAACGATATCGTATAGATTATTTTCAACCTATAATATGTAACACTTTTAATTGATAACTTATGAGTTTGTCATAATAAATATTGGTACAATTTTTTATTTCTTAACAATTTTTTAAAAAATATCACCTGCACAACAATATCAGTTAAAAGCTATCATTAAAGATAAGAGTTTGATTATTTCGAAATAAATTATCTTACTCATTTAATTATTGCTCTCAAATTATTTTTTAACTAAATCATTAAATATTTTTTTTAGAGAAAAGAAATAATTGTAATTAGCAAAATTTAAATGTTAACCTTAATATTTGCTTCTTAATAATAACAATGAAAACAACGGTATTGATCAGAAATGATGGTAAGCCACATATTATAAAAGCAATTGTTAGAAGAAAAATTTCCAAATTCATTATCCTTCACTCATTCATTTTATTAATATGAAACAAATAAAATGAAAGTTGTTAAAAAGAAACAAACAGGTGATATCTGAAAAAAAGAAAATGAATTAATTTGTAAATAGAAATTAGACATTTCCATGAAATTTTTACGATAAGTAACAGGTGATATTTGAAACAGAAAAAAAAACAGAAAGAGTTAATTATAATTAAAGCTTTCAGTTATATTATTCTCCTCCAAAATTTTTGAATATTTTATAAAGTTACGCAATAGCGCAATGATAAATTTTAAAAACATGGAAATACTAAAAAAAAAAATATATTTTCAAAGATTTGTAAAGATAGTGAGATAACAAAAAAATGAGGGGAAATAAATTTAATTTTATTAGATATACGTAAAAATTTTAAACCAGGATGATTATTTATACCAATAATTGAATTAAAATTAAAGCATTTTTTTTAACTTTCGATTTTTTATCAAAGTATTTATTAAAGAATAATTGGAATTGCTCCTATCTTACATACTATTTTCTATTTTTTTTTGAAGTAAAATGCAAATTGGTATTTTTAAGCGATACCATTAATAAATAAAAATAACTCTATCAAAATGGAAAATTTTATTTATAATTAAAATATGCAAGTAAAATTAATTTAAGTATTAAACTAATGGAATTTGAAACCATTACAAAAATTTCAATTAAATTGCATGTCTTCAGGATCAAAATTAACTTTGATCATTGGCATACTCATGTGGTTGTGGCAACAGTATATGAAATTTAATATTTTTATAAAACTGAATCTAATTTAAACTTTTGTTTATACTTTCGCTCAGTGAAAAAAGAAGGAAATTTTGCAACATTTAGAAGTATATTTATATTATGAGATGAAAAGAATTAAAATGAAACAACTTTTAATGTTTCATATTATTAATTTTGTACAAATTAAGAATAAAAGTTTAATTTAAAAAATATTAATAGACAAACTATTTTTCAACGTTTTTCTTCCAATATTTGTCGGTGTTTCATTTTATGGTTAATTGATATTTGCAACTGATTTCCCGGTATTTTTAGATGCTAATCGATAAAGGATTTCTGATTTCATTTCTGCTAATATTTAATATCAATCGTTTCCTGTTGAGCCATCAACTTCATTTATGTCAGATTCAATTCCCAGAAAACTATCATTTTTACAAAATTATAAATATGAAACACTTTTGTTGAAATTAAAAAATAATCTGAAAGGAAATCAATCGATTATGTCAAAAAAAAAGCAATTTAATTTAATTTAAACTTGGCGTAGCTTAATTAATATTTGACTTTAATAATGCATTTGCATATAATTTAAATATACTAAAAACAATAATTTGGAGACCATAAAATGATAAAATTTATGATTTTGCAAGCATTCATTAATATTTATAGTTTCAATTAGCGGCCGGTTGGGTCAATTTTTAATCATTTTCAAGTTCACAGTTAGCAACCAATTAGCCTAATTTCAATTAGACTTCAGTCACATTGAAAAAAATAAAATAACATCAGTTCGGAATGACAGAATTTTTTCAAATTCTATATTTCTTGTTATCACTGATAGTATTTATCAGCGACATTCTCTTATATAGGAATTACAGTGAACTTTCCATACGTCCATCTAAATATAACTGATTACGAAATCCATGAATCAGGCAGGTCCATCACGAATAGGACAAAAGGTGATAATATGATAAAGATGCTTTTTATCATTTTTCAAAAATTACTGAAATAATTCAGGCCACAAATTTTTTATTTATTATTACATTTTTCTTGTGTTTTTTCAAAAATATAAATAAAATAGGCAACTTTTTTTATTTTTTTTATTTCCAAGAATAAACTTTATTTCTATATAATAAAAATAATTAACAATTTCTATAATTAGCAAAACACCAAAAAACCACTTATAATTACTGTACCACGTGGATTACTACGACGATCACTTCAAGAAATTATTCCAAATGAAAGATCACGTATTTGCTTTGTCATTAATAGAAGCGAAATTAAACTGGTATTTTATAATTTCTTTTTTTTTAAAATTTTCTTTTCAGTAATAGTTTTCTGCGTTTCATTTATTTTATTAATATCAAAATCAATTTCATTATTACATTCTTTTACAACAATGAATGAGTGAATGGAATATTTCAAATTTTCAATATCAAAAATTTATCATTTGGTCGATGAAAAATTTTATTTAAAAGCTAAAATAAATTTTTAACTAAAATGCTATTGCACTATTTTTTTTAATAAATTAGTTTATTATAATATAACGAAATGCTCCGACGATTACCTTAATTAGTGCAAATTGATTGATTTTATATTAAATAATAGCGGTAATGGTGAAGTAAAATAGCTAAAAAAAATCGTTTTCTCTAATAAAGATGCTATCCAATATTAAGGAAATGATAAATGATACTATCATTTGATTAGTGACCAATAAAAGCATTATTTAAGAGATGATTTTTTAAATTAAAAGATGAATCAATTAGTTTTTCATTATTTTGTTCATTTATTCATTATCACCATATCATTAATTAGTTTTCCATTTATATCCATTATCACCATATCATTAAATTGAATAACATTTATAGCTTACACCATCTGATAAATGGCATTTCGATCTGTCACGTGTGCAACATCTTCCACCGGCACCATCATATTATACGGGATTTCGTAATTTACGCTCTCCAAGTCCATCAATTTGCTACCCCTATGAATATCCAAAAGTTATTTTATAACTCTTCAATTTCATTTAATAATTTCAAAGCATTTCATTTATTTTAATTATTTCTTAAACAACTCAATAAAAATTAAGTATAAATTAATTATTAAAATAGCAAATGCAATTTGAATTCATTTAAAAGAAAAAAACTATAAATTGATAAATATCTATGAAATTTAAACTGAAATGAACAAAATAATTATTACATTTTTTTTTAAAACTATAAAAGCTTCTATTCCCAAATTTTTTTCTCCTCATTTGTAAATTCAATTTCTTTCAACAATTTTTTTTTTCATTGTTAATTTTAGTACAATCAATATGCACTATCACAACCACCGATATGTCCACCGGAACACGGTCGTATCCCACCTGCACCATTATCTCCAACCTATACGATAAGTCCATTTAATGGTTCTCCTCCGAACAGCATTTACATTCCACTTACCAGACAGCTACCACAAGATCGAAAGGTTATGTCCAAACTTGCAAAACGTCGTGGTGTTCACATTCATCCGTTAACCGGTAGAATGAAAATTGTCAAACGACGAACTCATCAAAAATGATGAAATTCGAAAATAATTTTCACATATGAAAATAATAGATCATATCATATCTAATGCAATTAACAAATAAAAACTGACTATTAAATAAATTTAATCAAATTCAGCTTCTTATTTTAGTTTTTTTTCATTTCTAATTTTAATAGTATTATTCAGAGCAAAAAAAAAAAAATTTTTTTGTTTAATATTATTTTCTCATTGCTTTCCTCTTCTATTATTCTTTATTTGTCTTTAGTTAATTTAATTTTTTTTATTCACAATTAATTACCATTTATAAATGATTATGTAATTTTAATAATTGAAACAGTCAATAGTTTGCATGATGTACAAAATCATGGAATGATGAAATATATTTTAAGTTAGAAATATATAAAATATTTCCATTTTCATACATTTTTTTTTCTCTCTTTTGCGCTCTCTCTTTCTTTTTCTCTCTGTTGGTTTTTACCTCTCTTCTTCCTTTTTTTTTCATTTTATTTATTCGATAAAATACGATCATTTATCATTGCTGCAATAACAATTGATTAAATTTCTTCATGAAATAGATTTTAACATTTAAATGATTATTTGAATGCTAATATTATTCTACTGTTTCTCAATAATTCATTTTTATTCAAAAATTTTTCCTTATTTACGTTTACTATTTCAAAAAAAAAACTACATTATTTAGCAAAATTTTTTATTTTTTAAATTGTTTGTATGAATTATGCATATTTTCGGTTTAAATTCTAAATTTGAAAAATTTTGAAAATTGTTTGTTAAAAATAACTAGCAGATTTTAGAAATTATAAAAATTTTCTAAATTATTTGCTGAAAATAATTATTTGAATTTTAATTGCATATTAATGTACAGTTGAAACCGGTAAAATAAATGAGTTCTGCTCATACTTAACATTTTAGTAAAGTAACTATTAGCTCAAAAATTCAAAAAAAAAGGAAAACGGATGAAATATTCGGCATTAAATAATGAAAAGTAATTTTAGTTGGAAATTTGGGTAAAATAATTTTTGTCAAATGATTTTTGCATTATTTCAATGATTTTTAAACGACTACAGCAAATTCCAAATGTTCAATACACGTTTCAACGTACGTCCCTTGCGCAACGAACGATATTACTTCGCATTTTCTCCTTGCTTAAACATGATTATTGAAAAATTTTGACAAAAATGTGTTACTAAGTAAGGTAAATGTACAAAATTATTGTGAAACTTTAAATTTCAACATATTTTAGAGTGTCAACATAATAAAATTTCAACAATAAATGATAGCAATAAAATTTTATTGATGGTATTTACGTATTATATTTCTACAAATATCATTTGATTTAAAAAAAAATTATTAAAATACTGCATTTTTCGGCATGTAAAATTTTATTTTCTGCCTTTTTTTTAGGAAAATAAAATTGTAGAAATCAAGAAATGTATCATTTTTCATGAAAAAAAAAGTGGAATTGATAAAATTAAAATTAAAATGATAGAGAATTTAAAGAAAAAATGCTTTTAATTGGAAAAAAAAATCTTCTATCACATAATGAAATGGATAAATTCTTTCGCCAAATTGCTCCTTTCATTTATGGGCACAAAATTTCGTACAAAAATTGAACGAATTGAATTTTTAATTAAATATCTTGTAATTGTATTTTGGAAAACTGTTTCAGTGTTCGATAAGTATTGTAAAATATCAATGGAAAAGAAAATTACAAGCTAAAAAAATTTTTATTTAGAAATTTGTCAAACATTTGAAATATTTTATTATATGAATACAATTTCTTAATATGGGTCTTTAATGTTTCTTTTTCTTGACGAAATGAAAATTTTTAAATGAAAATATGTTCAAATTCCAATTAAATTCCAGCTTTAAGATTGTCATATTGCGGTCATTTTTATTATTTCCATTTATTTCATAATGGAGCGATGCAATTTATTTGACTATCACTTCTAATTTCGTTTCTGATAGCGCAAAAAAAAATCAAAACAATAAATCCTTAGCAATACATTATCATTATTTATCAGAAAAAAAAAATTTTGCTAAATTTCATTTGACAAATTTTCTAAATTAATATTCATTATATTATATCTTTTTCATACATCAAATAATTTGATTGAAATTATTCAGAGAAAATGATAATATTAAGTTAGCAAATTTAAGTATTCGATAATTTCTGGAAATGCTATTTATTAAGTGAATATATTTGAAGTTTATTTAATTAGCCGAAATCAGTGCTTAATTGATGCAAATGTAAAAATTCCTGTACAGTCTGAAAATGAAGCATTAATATTATTTTGGGAAAGCTTTGATGTACTCTAATGAGAGTACTTTTAAAAAAACTCAAATTTATTTCTTTATATGGTTTATTTTCACATTTCAGAAAGTTTAAAATTAAAACATTAAATGTTATATTTAATGAGATAAAGCAATTTTATACTTAAAAGTTCATTTATTCCTCTACAAACTTCTCCTTTTCCATTTTAAATTTTTCACTTTATCGCATGCAATACTATCTTTTGTTTATTCGAGTGAATGAAATAAACAAATGATAGATATGCATGTGATAAGTGAATATACAGCTAATGTTTACTGCAAATGTTATCAATATGAGGTCATGTCGTTTAACCCTTATTGTTTATGATCACTTAAAGGGACGAATTGATGGATCAACAACATTCATCGAGGTTTGTTCCGCGATTTCTCGAAATATCGATATGACTGATTGCATTGATTTCTTGTAAATTAATGAGCGAAAATCGGTGGAAATAAGACAGTTAGATGGTCGATAGGGTGTATTTCTCGAGAGAACCTTTGGTGAATATATATCTTTATGGGAAATCCCAAAAATTACAACAAACAACATACAGGAAATGCTTACAGGAAATCCTGACGAACACGACAGCTACTACGTTTACGGGAAATTCTGATGAGCGTGGCAACGTGTACGTTTACATGAAAGTTCGGTGAGCGTAATGATCAATCTCGTCAAATGAATCCTTTTCAACGAAAGCTTTATTTGCCCATTTCTAATTTATTTATTTATTTTTTGAATATTGAAGTCATTTCAACGTCTCTCAACTTTATGCGCAAGTAATTTTTTCATGTCTGTAACAGCTTGACCTTAGACCCTCAGTCTAATAGCGCAAGTTTGGCGTAAACATGAGCTATTAGATACATTTATTACATGTATTAGGACAAAGTAGCACATTTCTTTTTACGTGCACTCAGCTGAAAAGACGTATGGAAACCACCGTATCATTTCACGTCAGTTTGGTAAATTTCGTTAAATTCGTCATTTCAGCGTTAGGAAGAATGCCTTCTTGATGAAATGAACCTTTTTTGCCTGCGCTTTCCTTTCTTACAATTTCCGTTCCGGAATAAACTATTCGTAGTAATTATCGTCGTGCTGTCCTTCAACGCTAAGTCACTTTTGCTTGTCAGTAATATATTTCTGAACTCTGACCTCATGATGATATCTTCTCATGTAAACTCTTTCAGCAATCCGTTCTGTATATCGAATCCTTTTTGATTTATACCGATGAAATTTCCATCCAACAAATATTTGTTGAAATTTTGATATAACATTTTGCTGATATCTTTTATTTCACATTGTTTTTTTTTTAATATGCACATTGAATGATTTCTTTTTATGAGTTAAATTATATTGGAAATGCAGTAATTCTGTTTAATGACTTTACATTTCGAGATAAAATATAATTTCAATATGTAATTGAAAAATGAAAAGTGTTAAAAAAAGTAACTAATACCATTATTGGTAATTGTTCAACTAGAATAATAGATAAGAAATTATGGTTTAAATCAATTGCGATTTTCTGAAAAAAGATTTTTTTGTTAAAAATTTTTCACTTTCTTGAATTATTCAAAATTATTATATTTTCTGAGTATAAATTCATTCCTACAATTACTGTTAGCAATAGCTGGCTGTTTAATTTGTGTTATAGCTTTTTTCATTTCTTAAATACATTGATTATATTTTAAATTACACATGTCAACTATTTTGAATAATATATTAAGCATTAATGTGTCAATTAAATTTATCAAAAAAATAAAAAATGAGACGGATGTCTGCCTGATTTAATGGAAATTAATAAATGAAATTAGATAATTTATTAAATATTTCAATTGTTATCAGTTTTTGACCGTCTAATTATCATTTTATTTAACAAATGTAAATTTCAGTTAATAAATAATTCTTTTATCACATTTTACAAATAATGAATAACTTTTATTTAATTATTGCGTTCTTTTTTTCAATCAATATTTGCTGCTTCTGATTTTTTAATGAATTCACAGCAGTAATTACGATATTCATGTTAAATAATCATATCATATTTGATATGCTTTAATGACAGTTGCAAAAAAAAGTCTAAAACTTAAATCGATTCATTTGCTAATGAATTCGATATCATTATCAATTCACTTAGTTAAATGTTTCCAATTGACAAAAAAATTATCATTTATGGAGTTTATCAATTATAATAGGAAACATTTCAAAATTTACACTCACATATTTTTGTGTTTGCTAGTTGGAGAAATATTTTGTATGTTTGATCAATTGATATGTTATCATTTGAAAAGATTCATATCTATTGTTTGTGTATTTATTTTTCAGTGTGAAGCGTAAACTTACCGTAAATGGTAGTGCTAAAATATTTTCAGAATTATAAATCACTTTTGTAAACATTTCAATGAGTTATTTATAACAGATTCCCAATTGATTGATTTTATAATTCTATGAAACAAATACAATTTTACTACGTATATTTCATTGTAATGATATGGGAAAATAACGTGTAATTTATTTATTGTTTTATTAATTAGTAAATATACGGTATATTTGCATTATCAAATTATTTCTTGCTTACTAGTGAAGTTTATTTACGTGTAAACAGTTACAGCATATGATAAAGAATACGTGATTTCGAAAGCAATATCGCTACGTGTCTTCACGTATTCAGCATTCTTTTTTATTTTTATATCGATCTTTATGCATT